CCCCCCCGTGTGCACTAGGGCCTCCAGCATCTCGGGGTGCGGGCATCCCGTCCATGTGCACTAGGGCCTCCAGCATCTCGGGGTGCGGGCATCCCGCCCGTGTGCACTAGGGCCTCCAGCATCTCGGGGTGCGGGCATCCCGCCCGTGTGCATTAGGGCCTCCAGCATCTCGGGGCGTGGCCAAGAATCGACTCAGGGAAGAGCCAGGCCCCTGCATTCCTGCCTCTCTCTGCAGGGCCAGTGCCACAGGGACAAGGCATACTTCACCCAAAGCTCCCTGTGGAGCCACATCCCCAAAGGTCTCCCAGGGGCCTGGGGGAGGGGCTCCTGCACCTGGGTTAGGGCGCCATGTCTACAGGCAGCTCCACCCTAGCTGACATCAGAATCACCTGGGGAGAAGTAAAATAATACCGCCGCCTGGCCTGCCCTCCACAGATTCTAATCTAACTCGTCTAGAGTAGGGACCAGGTGTCTGTATTTTAACTGACTCTTGGGAGCTTTACACAGGGAACCGAAACTATATGGGCCAAAAATTAAAAAAGACACAGGCCAGAAAGCAGACCACCTTCCAGCCCCATGCCCCTGTGGCACCCTCATGAGGAGATGTAGCAGTGAAGGGCTAGGGTAGGGGCCGAGGCGTCTTCCCTTCTGGGGCGAAGTGGATGGCTGTGGGGCGATGTGCAAACGCTCAGCCTCGATGCGGCGGGCTTGGCACGTGCTCGGCACAGCTTCATCTCTGATTCCCCCTGCCTGTGTACATCAGGAACAAGGTCCTCGGGCACGCTGCAGTTCAGGTCAGCACCAAGGAAGCGATGCATGTTGACACAGAACATGGGGGTCTCCCCAGGGTTTCTTCACATGGATGCATCCGTGTTCAAAGAACCCCGCCCACTCCGGGCTTCCCTTAGTCACCAAGGAGCAGGCGCCACATTGAAGGGACCTGACATGCCAGTGGCCGAGGAGGAAGCACTGACCCCCGTGATCTGGAAACCAGGCAGGCCAAGCTGCCCCACCTGGGCTTGTCCCCTGCCTGCCCAAAGCTGCTGCAGGCTGACAACAGCCATGGCTGTTGATGACCCACTAATGACCTTCCCACTTGTGCACTCAATGTCACAGGTTACAGAGCTCTTTCCTATCCACAGGCCCACTGAAGCAAGCATGCCTGTCAGGCCCCACCCCCAACGTGGGGCTGACCACCCCCAGCTGGCTTTCTGACCCTGCCCAGGTGACAGCAGAGGGTGTTAAGCAGAGTCCCGGGCCTCCCAGTGAACAACAGGTCCAACAGATCCCTCCAGATCCACCAGTAACAGACGCTCACTGAAAAGAACTCAGACACACAGCCCACAGGCCTCCCCACAGCCTGAAGAGAGGATGGCTGATGTACAAGTTTAAAAAACACATGCACGTAAACTGGATTGTGCTGTCACACTGTTTTAGAGCCTGCTGTTTTCCTCCATTTAGCAAAGTATCGCAGCATCACCGCCCTCCCTCCATCATCCTCACCTGGCAAGCCCTGGCCCTGGGGAGACCCAATTAACCACCTGTCTGGCCTACGGGAGGCACCTAAGCGTTGGAGACAAAACCTACCGACCAGCCTTGCCTGAAATTCACAGCCATAAATCTCAAACAGCGCCAGGTGAGCATACCTCCCTCCCCTAATAGATCTCTCCCCGACTCCCCAGGATGAGGGGCGCACCTCCCCTCTCTCTAATGTCCCAGCCCGCCTACACAACCTCACAGCCCACCTCCCTCCCCTCCACCTGGAGCCCCCTTTCCATCCTGCTCCCTCCAGCACCATCACTCTTCCTCCTCTACTGTTCAAGCCCTCCCTTATGCAACACCGTGTGCAGCTACAGGCCACTTTCTGGGCCCTTCAGAGCTCACACCTCAGTGCAGTCTAACTCCGCGTATTGAGAATGTCTGTGGGTCAGTACGCTTTCCGTGCCCCTGAGGAAGCAGCTCTCACTAGGAGCATTGATGAAATCCTGTCCCCAGGACCACAGGCCACTCTGCTCCTCTCACAGCTCTGTTACAGCATGTGACCCAGCCAGTCCCTACCTAGAGACTTCCTTCTCTGGCTCTGTGGGTGCAGCTGCCCTCCCCAGGTCCCCTGACTCCTGGATGCCCCTCTCAGGCCAGATGTCCAGATGCTGGAGCAGCCTGTCAGGGCTCCAACCTCAGGCTCTACCTTCTCGGCTACCTGCGCTCACTCCAAGAACATGAGTACACCCAGAGGCTTCGCTGGCCTCGACTCAAGGCTCCAGATCCCCAGACCCAGGCACCCAATGTCCAACAGCATCTCAGACCTCCAAGTTTCCCTCCAAACCCGTGCTCCCCAATCTTGCCATTCCCACCCATGACCCCCGACCCACCACCCAGGCCAGAAGCCCCAGTGCCATGCCCGAACCCTGCCCTCATGCTCTCTACCTAATCTGTGTCTCCCTTCAGCACAGCCGAGTCTGACTACGCCTCCCCAGGGCACCCCTGCTACCCTTGCTCATCTCTCACCGGTCAGGGGCTCTGAGCACAGCCAAGCCTGGGCTCCCAGGTGCTGGTGACTGGGCCTTATCCCTGGTCTCATTCCTCGTCCCCATCCCGTGCCTATCCCCCTAGGTCCCCTGCCTCATGAGTGGGCTGATTTCAGGTCCATCCAGCCCCTCCCTACAGTAAGGGCCAACAGTGACAGCAAGGACCACAACCACGATGACCACCTTGGCTGTGGGGAGAGCTGCCCAATCGATAAGCAAATTCAAGGACATATCGTTTCAACTTGGAGGTCATTCCCATTTTCAGGCTAAGGCCAGATGATCTTCTCAAGGTCAGGGGGTTGACAAGCGATGAGACCAAAACAGGAACTCCAAGAGCTCTCCCAACACTGACAGCAGCCATGCCCTGTACCCCAAAACCGGCTGGGGCAGGGCAACCCCAACACATACAAACATTCCCTGTGGCCTTTGTGTGTCCCTGCGAGGCTTAGTCCTCACAGAGACCAGACCAAGGGCCAGAGCAGCGTGGAGGGACTCAAGGCTTATATAGGACAAAGATGCTTTGAAGGCAAAGCCCGTTTGTCCCCCAGAATGGTGGTGACGAGCCTCTTAATACTGGAGCACCCAGGCCAGGGTCACGGGCCTCACCTGCAGGTGCCCACACCAAGGCTCGGCAGGCAGCAGCTGGGGGGGGCAGGGCTGATGGGGTGTGGGGAGAAAGCATGTCAAAAGTCAACCCACACAAACAACAGAGAAATAAATCTGTTGTGCAGCAAATCAAAATTGTAGGCTGGAGAATCCTGCATCTCAGGCTGGACACACTGTGTGGCAGAGCCCCAGCCAAGGCTGGGTGACAATCTAATGACAACACGGGGCACGTGGGGCAGGATAGGGATCCGTGTGCCATATGGCTCTTCATTGCTCACGCGGGTTTCACATCTGTTTTATCATCGCACAAGCCATGACCTTGGGCAGTAAGCACATGGCTGTCCCCACCTTACCGCTAGGCAGCGGAAGCTCCGCACAGTCTGTTGCTGGGAAGCCAGCACGCGGCTTCCAAACCCCATGTCCTCTCCATTCCCACCTGCGTTTCTGAGGCCAGAAGGACCATGGCTATCAGGGACCCACAGGCTTGAACCTGCAGGATAAGCCCTGATGGGAACAAGCACTTCTGCCTGGGGCCCAGGATCTAAGGCACTGCAAACCCCAGGCTTCCCTTCGGCCACAAAGGCCACCAAGAGCCTCAGGGACTTACCATGTCTGCTCTTTGTTTCTGGCCTCCCAGCTCCTCCAAGGCCTGTGACAGCTGAGCCTTCAAAACAAAGAAAGTGGGGTCAGTGGGCCATCTCCTCCCAGGGCAGAGGGACCACACCTCCCCCATGTCTGCTGTCCTCCCAACCTGCTGGGCAGGTGGCCCCCAGGAGCTAGAAAGCAGGAGCTGGCATAGTCAGGGGCTCAGCTGCCCCCTGGGGGAGGCCCCATGTTCCCACTGTTTGGAGAGGGGAACTGACAGGGCAGTCGGAAAGCATAACAGAATGCCAAGTCCACCTTAAAACCTGCCACTTGAAAGTGACTAAGGAGTTACGGGTGGGGAGAGAGAGAGAGATTCGGGCAGGAAAACAATTCACCTCTGCTTGGCAGGCTCACGTCTGGAAGAAGTAATTAAGGCAACTTTCCTGATGGGGCCAACATCCAGGGAAACCCCAGATGCCCCTCAACCATGGCCCACTCAACAGGACTCTGGAATCCAGGCAGAGCAGTCCCCATGCCAGGATGCCTGGCTCACCCCAGGGCAGAGGTGCAAGGGAGGTTCCTGACGATGGTGCCAGCCTGGTAAGAGCTGTGGCTGGTGTCATCAAGCTCAGCTCCTGCTTGTCACATTCTCCCACAGAGACCAGGCAGAGCCCAGGGGCTGCCACGCTCCAGCCTGGGCAAGTCCGGCTGGCATGTTATATATCTGTCTCCACAGAAGCCACCCTGGGAGAGGCAGCAGACCAACTGCAGAGCAGGAACACCAGTACTCAAAAGTCGGGGTCAACTGGGCCCAGGCCCCGATCGCACACATATGCCCTGCCTCCCAGCCTCAAAGCCCACAAGGTTTGTGGTTTGTGTGGCTTGCCTCAGGTCAAGGATTCCTCCTCGTGGGTCCTCAGTACCATTAAGCCAGGACATGCTCACAAAATGAGAACCGGTCACACACTTTTCTCCAGAGAACAGTGAAAATGAATGTATCAAGTGAGTTTCGGGCCACTATTTGAAACACTGCTTGGTAAGGGGCGCTAGCAGCCTCTGTGCAGAAGCACTGTGCACTCAGTACCCAGGCAGCGATCCACGGGGTCTGTGCACCACCACGCGGAAGGGACTGACTCTGAGAGGAGACAGCTCTTGTGCAGACAAGCAGAGCTGGGACCAAACACAGCCGGTCAGACTGGAAACCCTGTCTTTCCCCAGAGCGGCAGGATGGCAGACACACAGACATCACACCAAAGGCCGCTTCTCTTGCGGCCCCTCTGTAAGGTCACGAGGTCCAGCCCCTGAAGGCATGAAGGGAGGGAGACTCGCATGCGCTGCCGGGCAAAGGCAACATGCTGTCAGAGAGCTGGGACATCCCCGTGGTCTTGTCTGTCTACAGTCCGAGTGCACCCCAAACAGCCGAGGGCGCGTGCTTCCTCACGCGAACCCTTTCTACGAGGCCAGGATGCTCTTTAAAAGCTCATCGTGACTCTGCAAGCCCATCTGAGCTGATGCTCCCAGGAAAGTAATGCCAAGCCAGGGAGAGAGGAGGATCGTTACTGCAACAGCCGAGCCTTCTGAAGTAACACCTCCAAAGCCAGCCAACCACCAAAACCACCCCCAAGGACCAAGCGCTGAGCCTGATGCCCAGTCCTGCGGGCCAGTGAGGCGGGTTCTCCATCCCTCTGCCTCTGCCTCACCTCAGGCCAAGCACCAAGGAACGGGTGCAGCTGCCAGGGGGGCAGGCAGGGGGCAGGTGGGCAGGGTGGCCTCACAGGCACCACAGAGGGCACCCCTTGTGGGCGGGAGGTGGTCTGGAGAGGAGGCAAAGGGAACATCTGCACGGCCTGAGGTGGCCACTGTGGTCTGCCTGTAAATTCACCACCACCGAGAGCTGACGGTCCACAAACATTTACACAGAGAAAACAATCAACTTTACAGAGCAGGGAACAGCCATGCCTGGAAGCGGAGTGGTGCGCTCTCTTTCTGGCTGGCAGGTCCACGAGAGACTGCTCTGAGAGATGGAGCAGCCCTGGGTATGTGAGACGGAGAGGACACACCTCTCTGCTCTGTCCTCGTGCTCAGAGCAGACCTTCCAGAGCCTGGTCCCACGGACAGACACTGGTGTTGGAGGTCAGACCCCAAGCGAAGAACCCTGGGTTGCCCTCTGCCCCTCGCTGCCGCCATGCTCGGCCTCCACCTGTGCACTCACTCCTGGGAGGTGGGTCTTCTTACTGGTCCTAGTTCAGGAAGGAAGAAACTGAGGCCCAGAAGCTAAGCCGTACCCACCCCCACCCAGGGTGGGTAACGAGGCAGGAGGTGACCCAGGGCTCATGCTCCCCTTCCCACACCCCAAGCAGCAAGGAGCCCCTCAGAGCCCCATAGCTGCCGCTGCCTCCTTTGAGAGAAGTCCTCTCTGCATGTCCCACAAAGGACGCTCCAGCCTCCATGCCTGCCTCATGGCCAAGGGGGTGTGGGGCAGGAACCCACAACCTCTTCCCCTTGGTCAGTGCTGGGGTACACAGAGAACACCCACAAAGCAGTAAGAAAACAAAAGGTGTGACAGAAAAATGGACAAGAGATACAGACAGACATCTCCCAGCAGAGGAAACATATGTGGCCAATGACTGTATGAAAAGGGAATCGACGTCATTAATCAGGAAAATATACATGGAGACCCAGCAGAAACTACTACCACTTTGCATCCATCCATGTGATGGGCAGAAATCCAGGATTCTGGCCATACTGAGCACTGGGGAGGATCTATCTACACCAATGGTGGGAAGCACACGAGTAACGCACTTCAGAAAATACTGTGGTGTTGCCCTGAAGTCTCACACTCACAGCTCCTCTGACTCAGTAATTCCACTCAGGTATACATTCAAAGAAACTGTGAAACGTGCACAGCCAACCTGGACAAAACCAGTCCTCGCTGCACTGCAGCAGTAAAATCAGAGCCAACCGAGATGCCCATCAGCAGGGGAATGAATCAACACGCTGTGGTACATTTATGTGGACACAGAGGCCGGCAGGGAAAGGCAGGTGACCTGCTCACAGGGAAAATCAGCCTGGGGCAGGGCTGAGTCTGCCCATGGCTGTGCCCAGGCGACAGCTCCATGCTCACACACCTCTGCACTTGGACCCTGTTGAGTGAGTGAGGAAGCGACGAGCAAGCCACAGACATCGAGGGGTGACCACTGGGAGCCAGTCCAGACCCGCCGTGAGAGCAGGTGAAGCTTCAATGACCTCAGTGTTACGGCCAGGACGCCGCCACCAAAGTTTGTAGAACACTTTACCACGGTTTCTGCGAGGACATGACTAAGCAACGGGGCACAGCAACGGGCAGATTTACAACTGGCCAGTCGACTTAGAGCAGAGACTTTGACTACTGGGCAGATGCTGATCCAAGACGCTCATTCCTGTGCCTCACCCGCTCCGTCCAACATTCCCAGCAATGACTTGAAAGAAATGTAGAAAGCATGCTTCTCAAACCCTCATGTGACTGGGGATGGGAAATATTGCAAATACAATGGAGACCAACAAGATTTAGAGAGATCTCAAGAAGCCAGAATAATTAGCAGAAACCTGACTTGGAGAAAAGTCAACACTGCATTTGGAATCGAGCATTTGCCTGCATTTACCTAAGGGAGACGTGCCCTGGAGCAACTCTTATGAAAAACGCAACCCAGGGAATCAGGCCAGGAAGTGTCTGCCTCCGCAGCCAGGGTGGCAGGGGGCTTGGCTCGCTCCCACCAGCCAGGAAGCTGAAGCTCTGTAGGATTCTATGTCTCCTGGGGGACTGGGCCAAGTTCATCAAGGCGGACACTGACCAACTAAAGTGTTTCCAAAGAGGTGACCAAGACAGCGGAGGGCATCAGACTGAGTCGTTTAGCCACGAAGAAAGAAAACTTCTCGAGATGCAGGAGCTATCTTTATCCAAAGGACAGAAGCCACATCCACAAGGCAAAGAAGGACCACAAGGGGCTGACGACGCTCTGTCTCCATTTGGGTGGTGGCTGCAGAGACGTGTTCACTGGGTGATAATTCATTAAGCTTGTACACTTAGAACATGTGCATTTGTGTGTGTGTGTTATATTTCAATGAAAAGACAGATCTAAAATATATATATACTTCAGCACTCTGGAGGACAAATGAGGGAGAAAGAGAGGGACAGCTCTGCTACATAACAGGAAGATGTCTCTAAGAGCAGGAAGCTCACCATCACTGAAAATGATCAAACAACCTGTCACACTATCCACATGGGAGGGCAGAATGGGACGTCACCCAATGGCCTTCCGTGTCTAAGATCCTAGGAGCACAGGAGGGCTCCAGGCTGGGGATGCAGCAGGGTGGCCTCCCAACAAGCCCAGCAGGCAGAGGGGTAGGATTCCAGGAGGGTGGATGCACAACCAAGAGAATGAGACAGGGCAGGCAGCGGAAGACAGAGCCTCTTGGCTGGGTTTGCAGACCCTCCCGAGGGCAAAATCCACGGGTGTGGGATGAGCGTCTGTCTCCTTGGCTCATGCCTGGGAAGGGTGGGAAGTGGGAGCTCCTGAGAACAGGAGCACAGGACCCCGGGCACCATTCAAAGAGATGCACTGCTGCTGGCGCATTGACCACAAGGGGCTGTGCAGAGCAGAAAAGCCTGTTTTTCAAAATGCAGCAGACAGAGCAAGCCACAGTGGAGTGGGGGGAGGCTGTGGATGGGGGGTACTGAATACCTGGCCTGACCTCCAGCCTGTGAGGCAGATCCACAGAGGTAGAGCCTAGAAGCTTCCAGCAGAGTGCCTGCACAGAGTAGACATCCTATAAATCCCTCCCTCGCTCGTCATTCAGTAAAAATGTCCTGGGGATAGAAAAACAAAGGGAATAGCCACACACCCACAGCCCGCCATCAGGAAAGGCAGGACCAGGGACAACAAGGCTGCAGATACCAGGGCCCCAGGGAGGGCTCCCAGGGGACAGAGTAGCTCCCAGATGGGGCGTCAGGAAGGCCTCTTGAGGGGAGGAATTCTGCTTCTGGACAAGATGGAGCAACAGGCACTAGATTTATCCTCCCGCCTCAATCAGCCAGAAAAC